CAGGGTGGGCCCGGGAAGCCTGCTGTCTCTGCGGCCTGGGCCTGATTGTGGAGAACAGAATGAGAGGGGGTTGTTGCTTGGTTCTAGGTACATAGCGCCTGCTGTGCTCCCACACAGCTGTAAAAATGTCACTAATTTAATTCTGTGGGTTACTTAATTTGAATGAGCACGAGGACTGTCATTCATTTAACAGCATGACATTTTGTTGAGATCCTGATGCACGCACCATGCTTTAAATTGTGCCAAACATGCTTAGAGATGAGCGGTAAGACAAAACTGTGGGATACCAATGTTTTATCTGTATTCAAGTGCTAAGTTTTAGTTCTGCACAGTTATCTGTAACTACCACAATGTGGTGATACTTTGTTTCATCACTCTTCAAACCGACAGGGATAACAACATCCCTGTCTGCAGTAGCAAAGAAAAGGAGGAGGAATTTCACTGTTTGTGAGAGAAAGGTCATACAATTTAGGTGCATCTGTGTAGGCCAAAAATTGAACTGCTTGCTGTGAAAATCTATTCATAATATCTGCTGATGGAGATTACAGCAGCTATTTTGATCAGCTGTTTTGGAAACTTTATTCAAACCTAGCCCAGTGATCCCTAAATTTTTGTCAGATTTCAGTTTTTCCATCACTTTCCATCCTGGGTTCAGAAATGTCTTATCAAATGCCCTCTTTAGAGAGTTCTGTTAATCTGATTAACAACCTCTGCTCCTTGTAGCCTCACTGGTCCACCAGCCTACTTCTCATTCACACACATGTACTCTGTTTTACTACGGCTGACTTTCATTCCTCTTATTTCAAGTGCATACCTCCACCTCTCCAATTTATCTTCCACCTGTTCTCACCACAGATCACAATGTCATCTGCAAATATCATTGTCCACGGGGATTCCTGCCTGACCTCATCTGTTAGTCGGTCCATCACCAGAGCAAACAAGAAGGGGCTCAGAGCTGATTCTTGATGCACTCCCACCTTCACCTTGAAGCTATCTGTCACTCCTACAGCACATCTCACCACTGTCCTGCTGTCATACATGTCCTGACCTGTACCAGTCTAACATACTTCTCTGCCACTCCAGATTTCCTAATGCATTACCACACCTCCTCCCTTGGCACTCTGTCATATGCCTTTTCTAAATCCACTAACACACAATGGAGTTCTTTCTGACCTTCCCTGTACTTCTCCATCAGCATCCTCAAAGCAAAGATTACATCTGTGGTGCTCTTTCTTGGCATGAAACCATACTGCTGCTCACGGATAGTCACCTCTCATCTAAGTCTAGCTTCCACAGCTCTCTCCCAGATCTTCCTTGTGTGACTCATCAACTTAATTCCTCTACAGTTGCTACAACTCTGTACATCACCCTTATTCTGAAAAATGGGCACCAGCACACTTCTTCTCCATTCATCAGTCATTTTCTCACCCCCAAATATTCCATTGAATATGTGAGTCAAAAACCTCACTGCCATCTCTCCAAGACATTTCCAATCTGCCTTCCCCTTCTTCATTCTTTTCAGAACTTTCTAGACCTCAAGGCTCAGTTCCAGGACCTAAATTATTTATAATGTATTTAAATAATATTTTTACAGTATCCAGTATTTTGAAATTCATGTTTGCTGATGATACAAACTTTTTCTTTTCTGGAAAGAATATGGATGAATTATTACAAATAGTAGAAAAAGAGCTAGCTGCGTTTAAAAAGTGGTTTGATTATAATAAGCTATCTTTAAATGAAAAAAAAAACAAACTAAATTTATGGTATTTTCAGGTAATCTGATTTATAATAATGTAAAGTTACATATAAATGGATTTGAAATTGACAGAGTTTATGAGACAAATTTTTTAGGTATCATTCTGGACAACATACTTAGTTGAAAAGCCTCAAATTGTATATATTAAAAATAAAATTGCAAAAACTGTTGGAATATTGTTTAAAATAAAAGATTTAATAAATGTAAAAGGCTTGCATATTATATACTCTTCCTTGATTATGCCTTACTTGTCATATTGCTCAGAAATATGGGGAAATACAAATAACACTACTATTGACATATTAATAAAGTTTATTCAAAGTAATACTTTAAAATTTAATGACATTATTTATATAAAAATACTGAAAACAATGTATAAAGCACTGAATAAAAGGCTTCCTTCTGGAATTCAGAAATTATTTAGGTTAAGAGAGAGTAAATATAATTTAGGAGGTTTGTTAATATTCAAACAAGCTAAAGAGAAAAGTAAAGTAAAATCTAGATGTATTTCAGTTATCGGTGTGAAACATATACATGCATAATTAAATATATGGTAAATGTATGTAATGTATGTTTATGTATTATATACATGCATATTTAAATATTTAAATATACGGTAAATGTCTGTATGTGTACTTATGTATATATGTGGACAGTAGATATCTGTCATTATGTAGACTGCTGAGTCTATGAACAGGGTAGGCAAGTATAAGCCTTGGCTTCAGCCTATTCCTTTTTTGGTAAATAATTGATTTACCATTTTATATTGTTTTCCTTTTTTTGGTAATGTTTTTAATTTACCAAAATAAAGTTGAGTTGAGAGACTTCACCCTCACTAATCTTTCCCACTTCCTGGTCCACAGTTTCTAGGACCTCTACTATTCTTTCTCTTTCATTCTCTTCATTCATTAACTCCTCAAGGTGCTCCTTCCATCTTCACAAACTCCTCACTTGTTAGAACATTACCATTCCTATCTTTAACAAGTCTAACCTACTGCACATCCTGTCCAGCCTGATCCCTCTGTCTCGCCAATCGGTACAAGTCCTTCTCGCCCTCTTTAGTGTCTAACCTCCCATACAACTCATCATACACCTTCTGCTTTGCCTTAGCTACCTCCCCCTTTGCTCTACATCCCATCTCCTTATATTCCTGTCTCCTCTCTTCAGTCCTCTCACTGTCATATATCTTCTTGGCTAATCTCGTTCTTTGAATAGCTTCACGTACTTCATTATTCCACCACCAGGTTTCCTTATCATCCATTCTCTGTCCAGAGGACACACCAAGTACCTTCCTACCTGCCTCTCTAATTACTGTTGCTGTAGTAGTCCAGTTATTTTGGCAGCTTTTTCTTACCACCTTTAACAGATCCTCTCTGAATTTCTCACAACATTCTTCCTTCTTCAGCTTTGACCATTTGGTCTTCTTCTCTGATTTTACTCTTTTTCTCTTCTTCACAACAACAGTCATTCTACACACAATCATCCGATGCTGTCTGGCCACGCTCTCCTCTGCCACAACCTTACAGTCTCCAATCTCCCTCAGGTTTCCTCTTCTACACAGAATGTAGTTGACCTGCGTGCTCCTTCCTCCACTCTTATAGATCACTCTATGTTCCTCCCTGTTTTGAAGTAGGTGTTGATTACATCCATTTCCATTCTCTTGGCAAAATCCACCACAATTTGTCCTTCCTGGTTTCTTTCCTTAACACTAAACCTACCCATCACTTCCTCATCCCCTCTGTTTGCTTCACCAACATGTCCATTCATACTCTCTCCTCCGTGGAAATAATATCTTACAAAAAGACCTGAAGCTCTCGACCTTGACCTCTGTAAGTGGCTTGAAAAATCTGTTGGGACTCCTGGCAAGAACCAATGCAGACATGTTCCCGTTTTTAGTTTTTTACATTCACCTTATAATCTAGCTGTTTTTGTTACTCTTTTTGCCATCTTATTTGTAAAAAAAAAAAATCTGTATGCCTTTTTACAACTGTCTATTGTTGTCGCTGTTGTCCATTGTTGTCATCATTCTTTGTTGAAATCAGGTCTCTCTTGTAAATGAGTCCTCGAGGCTCAATGGGATTTACCTGTCTAAATAAAAGTTGAATACTCTCTATCAGTTCATCCAGAGTTTTCCAAAATGTACCTGTCTCCTCCACATCACATCCAACCTGTGGAGCATAACCACTGACAACATTTTGCATCAGACCTTCTACTTTTATCTTCAGACACATCACCCTATCTGACACTCTTTTCACCTCTACTACATTCTTTGCCAACTCCTCCTTCAGGACCACCCCTACTCCATTTCTCCAATGCTGCAAGACTTGCTGCCTTTACACTTGGTCTCTTGGACACATAAAACTTCTACCTTCCTTCTCTGCATCATGTTAACCAGCTCTCTATCTTTGTCTGTCATTGTCCCCAAATTTAGAGTTTCAACCCTCAGTCCTACATTCTTGACTTTCCTCTTCTCCCTCTGTCTCTTGACACATTTCCCTCTTCGTGGTCTTCACCTAACAGTAGCACAATTTCTGCCAGCACCCTGTTTGTCAATAGCACCAGTGGCGGTCGTTGTTAACCCGGGCCTCGACTGATCCGGTATGGTTTCGCTTTGATTAACTTGCATTATAGTTTCAGCAAAACTATTGACTATTACATTTGATTAAATTTGTTAAAGATAGACAGATACAATTTGATCTATCTTTTTTTCCAAGCTGTACGTTTACATAATACAAGTCAATAAGACTTTGAAATGTATAGTTAGTGCCAATATCTACATTTTTTTTAAATGTTTGGAAATCTAGACTGAGACTCAGTGATGTTACTTGGCTGGGCTTCTCAGGCTTCATAAAGTTTCTTCTAACTGACAGATGACATTACACAAATCTTCCAGCCGAGTGCATTTAAAATAGAGGACAGAAATCAAAGAGCATTCACGCTGTTTTAAAAGGGACAATTTTAGTAGTAATCCACATAAATTTTTGTTTTGTTATTCTTAGTAGGAAATGCACACAGAGCTGTGATGCACAGTTTAAACATATGATCAAAACTTCAACAGTAAAAAATGAGAATTACATGTAGTATGTCTGATCTGGTAAAACAGATCAAAGTATTTATATTTGCCCACCTTTCTCAATTTATCCCCATCAGTTTTCTTTGCTTTTAATGTATTACATGGTTAATCGTTGGATTAAAAAACCTTCCTATGTAACTTTTAATTTTAAATTTACACATTTGATTTCAGGGGTGGATATCTTGAAGCTTGTAGCAGCTCAGGTAGGCACCCAATGGACTGACATCTATCAGTCACTGGGCAACGCCACGGAGTGCGAGGTGGACGCCTTTTCCAATGGCTACTCATGTGATCATGAGCGGGCGTATGCTGCACTGCAGCACTGGACTATCCGAGACGGTAATGCCAATCTGGCCAAGCTGATCAACGCTCTGCACCGACAGCGCCGTATCGATGTAGTGGAGAAGATCCGTTATGTCATGGAAGACAACCCACAGGTATGTTGGGTTGAAACTTCCTGAAGTGATGTTATTATTTTTGTAGGATTTCAGTGGCAAATACTTTTGACCTTTGCAGTTGTTACATATTTTAGATTATTGGTGAGATACCATACCATTTTATTTATAGAGATGAACATCCTGTTCTCTGCATGTCTGTCCCATTTCATTTTTTTTCCTGGGGCTGTGTTTCTGAGAAGTTAGTTCCAGAAGTTTTATAGTTTTCCTCACATTAAAGAAAACTATTTTTGCGAGCATGGTTCACGGTCCATGGTGCTTTCTGCCTATTGCAAAGATTTGGAAAATTGCTTGCTGAGATAAGTGAGGTCATGAGATAGTGTCTTGAGTTTGGATCAGATCAGAGTCGTAATGGAACTGAACAGCTCTTCTAATCTGACTGATCCAACAAATTGTATAAACATATTTGTCTTGTTTTTTGTAGTCCATGTATGAACATTGGGTTGGTTGAGATATTCCAGCAGGAGTTGACATAGGACCAAAATGTGATTAAATAGTACTCAATTCCAGTCCAGAAAAACACTCATCTCAAAAACAAAAAAACATTCACCATTCAAATCCCTCAGGTACGGGGAACAATTGGTGTATTGCGTGTTTATTTTGAAAGGATTAAAAATGGAAAAAATTACAATCATGAATGAGCTACACCTTTACTGGCAAAATACGGATATGGACCATAGTATTGACTGTACTGCCACAACCCTTCATTACCATGTGTTACTTGTTTCATGTAGGCAGAATGATGACTTTAATTCACCAGACCTGCTTCGCTCTTTCAGCCCCTTGAGAACAACATGTTATGGCTTTTTACTGTAATCAAGGATCCTTCGTCACTATTTACTTTCCTTGTCTCTTTCCTCTTCCCTCTCCTTTTATGTGGGATAAACTTGCACAAAATTAATGTTCTTCAGTACACTCCTCAAGGTCATCAGATCACACTAAATGTTTTGTTCTGGTAAGGACACACCAGCTGGATATAAATCGTTTTTCATCACTATTTAATTATCAAAATATTGCCTCACGTAGAGGATTGATCATAGATAAAAAATAATTAAATTTTTTTAGTGAAAAATACATAATTTGCAAGTAACTTAACTTAGCTTTATAAGATAAGAGGCCCATAAAACCAGTGATACCCCGATGTCCCCCATTCCTGAGTGATTTGAATAGTGAATGTTTGTAGTTTTCAAGATGAGTGTTTTTGTGGACTGGACTTGAACAGGGAATGCAAGTAAACCTTAATCTCAAAGTTATACTGTATATACCAATAAAGGTCGGAACAAAAATAAATATATAAATATGTTTTTCTTGTCTGAGCCAGCATAGAGTAATGGATCCTGGCGAGTGGAGGGAAAATTTTATTCACAGATAGGCACACTGGCAGAGCCAGGGGGTGGCCAATGGTGGCCTTGGCCCCCATAGATTAATCTTTGGCCACCCTAAAGTCCAATCCAATTATTTGAAAAAACAATACTTTTAAGCAATATAAAACTAGACCGCATAGTTTCCTCAAATGATAGGGGTGGTCAATTTACATACTGTAAATGGTTGCCGCTATGTTGAATTTTATATGGCAACCCATTATTTGAATTAACCTTTCTTACATTAAGATGTAGCCACACACCAGAATGGAAGTCGGTACCTTACTTTTTTCCAAGTTACCATGCTCACAACATGCATGAACGGATGGACATACAGAGGGTATTTTCAGTATTCCATTTTTCACTCCACGATGGGGGCCAAAAGGTGGGCTGCCTTACGGCAAAGCTGTGAACTGTCAAATTGCCATATGATCAGTATGAAACTGCCGGGTACTTAAGGCTGGTTCCATCCCTTTCAGCTCCGATGTTAATTTGCCCTCTTGACAGCATTAAAACAGTTTGGTCCTAAAACAATGGCAGAAATCCCTTCCATTCATTTCCACCTATTTTTCTTGGTCCAAAATTCAGATTCCTTTCCCCAGTGGCATTCTCCATCTCCTTCTGGGAGATTATGAGGTGTTCCCTACAGCAAGTTTTAGGTCTGTATCATGGTCTCCTTCCATTATGATGTGCCTTACAAACTTCCAAAGGGATGCAATCAGATAACATCCCAAACAACATAACTCACAGTCTGGGGGAGTTGTTCAGCTGTGTAGTGACGTCTGAACTCTTAGATGTTCAAACATCCCCCAAAAGGAAGTCTTTTCCACCACTTGTATCCATGAGCCAGTTCTAACCAAGCTCTTGTGACCAGAAGTTGGAATTTATTATAGAGAGGTTTTGCTTGGGATGTTGAGGTTCTCATAATTTCAGTGGAAGGATGGGTTAGTGTTAAATTTGATATTTTTAATTGTGGTGCTTTGCCATTGTCAACTCTCATCAGTTCCACACGACACATCACCAGTTAAGGACCTGCCCATTGCTAGTATCCACCTCCACTCAGCTCAGTTTATGGGACCACCTTGTTTGAGGTTTCAAGCAAACTGCTCTGAGGGGCCGATTTTGATGTAAGCAGACAGCAGCCGTTGATTGCCCAACAGAGCTACATCACTGGATGACCCGCCCAGCAAAACTCCAAACTGCATCTGAACCTCCACTTCCTCATCGTGTTGTAGGACGGTGCCATAAGAAACGAGTGCATTTACAGAGAGATATCGGAGAAGATGGTGCAGCAGGCCTACACCTGGACATAAGCAGTGCTGAGACAAGCTACTGAAATGGAAGTCTGATTATAGGGCGATTAAGAATTACACTAGATGGGGTGGCTCAAACTCAAAAAGATCTGTTATGGTCCCGTCTACTTTGTATTGACAATCCCACCCAGAGCGAGGAAACAGGTCAGCCTGTAGTGGCAAATCACCTACACCTGAGAAGAACCAAAATGAGGAGAGCCGAGTGGAGCTGCACTTACCACTGGCAAAGTGGCATTGGTTGTCAAGAAACCATTAGACTATTTCCTGGTGCTTGTACTCATCTTTGATGTGAAACAACTGTGGCCACAATGGGCACTAAAATTTGACATTGGGGCCAGGCCAGGTGCAGATGGATGTAGTTGATGTAAACCAGTAGTTCTCAAACTGTATGGCGCACCTTCCTAGGGGGCCTGGCGGGACCATGCCAGGGTGGGGTGTGACGTCGCTAAAAAAAAAAAAAAAAAATTCTCTATGCCAAAACATGTAGCAGGTGGAACTACATTGTAACGTCTTGTTGCAGGCCAAACCTATTTTAGGGACACACAGAACGCCTATCTTTTACTACATTTATTATTTGTCTCTTAAAGTTTAGAAAGTTGACATGTGGGTTTTCACTAAAGCATTTTCTTTTAAATATTATGTAGTTGTGACTAAATGATTGTTTAAACAAAATGAAGATGCTAAAACTGAGCTGTTAAAGCTAATAAGCAGAGCACTAGCTAAAAGAAGCAAACACCAGAAGCTGAAAACAGCTAAAACACAGCTAAAATTAATCAAAGAAACAAAACTAGAGCTAGAGGTCAAAAGCAGCAAAAGACTAGATAAAAGCTGAAAGTAGCTAAAAGCATACTACAAAAATCTAGCAGAATGATAGCTAAAAGCTAAAAGCAGCCAACAGCAGCACAATCTAAAAGCAGAAAGAGGTAAGCTAAAAGCTAAAAGTAGCAAAAGACTTGTTTAAAGTAGCTAGCCCTTATAATCTTTGATTAAACTCAATTAAAAAGTGAAACACCTGCAACCAAAGATAAAGAGCTAAGAGCTAAGTAAGTCCTTGTGTGTGTGTGTAAAAATAAAATAGTTAGAGATCATGTTGTGCTCACCTGCTCCATCAGGAAGTACAAACATCTGACTCAAGATTGATCCTAACATCCCTCAGTGTGGCAGTTGAGTGCTCGAAGGCTGCAGCATGGAGAGCTGACAAATAACCAATCAGCAAAAAGACCAAATATTCTCCTGCTAGGTGTTTACTGCATGCACATCAAGCACTGTAATGTTACAAAAGTATGAAGTCACACAGATGCTTCAAAGCAGAGGATGCAGTCTAGAAGGATGTGGGCTGCAAGATTTTAATTCACCATTTTACTTCATGCTGCTGTAGTCTGCCTCCATCTGGCTTCGTTTGTGTGTTCATTGTAACACTGTGGTGTGTGTGTCACTAGTAGGCCCTGGTGTTCTGCTGACAGCAGTTAGCAGCCCCCCCCCCCACACACACACACACACACACACACACACACACACTGCAACAGTTGTTCAGTTCCTCTCAGTCCTGTATCTGAGCTGTTACGTAGACAGTTACTGAAGTCTCTGTCGGGTGGTTAGTCATGCTGTAGTGAGAGGACACAGCTGGTTCTGTTTATCTCTGGTGTGACATCATGACTATATTGTCATCAGCTGTGTTCCTGATTTAAATTAAACAAATGAATGTAATCAATTTTAACGACCACTATATGTTTGAAGACTACTGGAAGAATGTTTTGTGGACAGATGAGACCAAACTAGAACTTCTTGGTTTAAATGAAAAGTGTTATGTTTGGAATATTCCTGCATAAGACCCTTATCCCATCTATGAAACATGGTGGTGGTGGTATCATGGTTTGGGCCTGTTTTGCTGCATCTGGACCAGGACAGCTTGTCATCATTGATGGAACAATGAATTGTGAATTATATCAGAGGATTCTAAAGGAAAATGTCAGAACATCTGTCCATGAACTGAATCTCAAGAGAAGGTGGTTCAGCAAGACAATCAATCAACCTTTATTTATACAGGTAAATCCCATTGAGCCTCGAGGACTCATTTACAAGAGAGACCTGATTTCAACAAAGAAAGATGACAACAATGGACAACAGCAACAACAATAAGCAGTTATAAAAACTCATACTACAGTTTTTTTTGTTTTGTTTTGGGTTTTTTTTAACAAATAGGATGGCTAAAAGGAAAAAGGTAACAAAACAAAAAAACAGCTAGATTCCAAGACAAATGTATAAAACTAAAAACAGGAACATGTCTGCATTGGACCCCGCCAGGAGTCCAACAGATTCTTAAAGCCACTTAGAGAGGTCAAGGTCGAGAGCTTCAAATCTTTTTGTAAGATATTCCAGGAGACAGGAGCGGAGTAGGAGAAGGCCCTTTTGCCTAGTTCAGTCCTCACTGAGGGAACACTGCAGGTTCAAGTGGTTCTATCAAAGAATGTTCAAGAAGATTAAAGTTCATGTTTTGGAATGACCTAGTCAAAGTCCTGACCTTAATCTAATCCAGATGTTGTGGAAGGACCTGAAGCTGCAGTTAATGTGAGGAAACCACCAACATCCAGAGTTGAAGCTGTTCTGTGCAGAGGAATGGACTAAAATTCCTCCAAGCCAGTGAGCAGGACTGATTAACAGTTACTAGAAACATTTAGTTGTAGTTATTGCTGCGTGGGGGTGGGGGTGGAGTCACACCAGATACTGAAAGCAAAGGTTCACATGTTTTTACCACTCACAAATCAGTAATATTGGATCATTTTCCTCAATAAATAAATGGCCAAGTATAATATTTTAGTCTCATTTGTTTAACCGGATTCTCTTTATCTACTTTTAGGACTTGTGTGAAAATCTGATGATGTTTTAGGTCAAATTTATGCAGAAATGTAGAAAAAAAAGAGTTTACAAACTTTCAAGCACCCCTGTAGATGAACTAATGCTGCACTCACCTGCATGCACCTAAAACTCAGGTCCTCTACTGGAATCCTCAGGGTGTGCATTCCTTTCTCCCAGTTTGGTTCATTAAATTGGCCTCGACAAATTTATACCCCTCAGGCCAGATTCTATAACATCAGTAGCGTTGAGTCATTCACACAACAATGACTTAGGTTTATTAATTACTTCATACCTAAAAGAGCTCATACAAGTGAAAATATGTCTAATATAAAAAGTAATCTGTAAAACCTGAAAAGTTAAAAATATTGCTCTCATCTCTGTAGTGGAATTTATGCGTTATCTGAAATATAACCTGCTAATAATTGTTTAGGCTTAAGTTCATGCAGGGGACGAACAGTGCACACTTGTTTGTTAAATTTCTTCAGCCATCAGGGCTTGTAGACAAATGTCTGTTTTGTTCAAAACACACTCAAAGTACATTCACTTTCATACACACACACTCACACACACAGACACACAGACACACACGTAGTTTATATAAATATCCAGATACACATTCTCTCAGGGTCGCACTCACTCACAGACCTTGTTCTCTGTTTGACTGTGCGTCCTCGAAGCTTCAAAATAAAATCATTTAAAGACCATTCCTGATTAGACATGTTTATTTCACGTGAATGTCAGCATTTGTTTAACAGTTTTTCCACAACACCTCCTCACTCCAGCAAACTCTATTCCCCTGCTTTCATCGTTAGCTGGTGGCAGACAGTTTGAACCCCTGATTCATTGAGCAGTGCAAACATCCTCAGTTTGAAACTATTTTATCACAAAAGGGAGAAAATATTTGTCACGTCTTGACAACTATTGGAACATTCAACCAATTTGCTGATAAAATTGTCACAGTTCACGACTCAACTGACACATTAATTAACAAGATTAAGACTGACTACCATGTTAGAGGAGTATAGTCTGTTCTAGAGGAGTATAGTCTGTTCTAGAGGAGTATAGTCTGTTCTAGAGGAGTATAGTCTGTTCGAGAGGGATATAGTCTGGTCTAGGGGTTTATAGTCTGCTCTAGAGGGGTATAGTATACTCTAGAGGGGTATAGTATGCTCTAGAGGGGTATATTCTGTTCTAGAGGGGTATAGTCTGCTCTAGAGGGGTATAGTATGCTCTAGAGGGGTACATTCTGTTCTAGAGGGATATATTCTGTTCTAAAGGGGTACATTTAGGTCTAGAGGTGTATATTCTGTTTTAGAGGGGTATAGGCTGGTCTAGAGGGGTATATTCTGGTCTAGAGGAGTATAGTCTGTCTAGAAGGGTACATTCTGTTTTAGATGGGCATATTCTGCTCTAGAAGGGTACATTCTGTTTTAGATGGGTACATTCTGTTCTAGAGGGGTATAATCTGTTCTAAAGGGGTACATTCTGGCCTAGAGGGGTATATTCTGGTGTAGAGTGTATATTATATTCTAGAGGGGTATATTTTGTTCTAGAGAGGTACATTCTGGTCTGGAGGGGTATATTTTGGTCCAGAGGGGTATAGTCTGGTCTAGAGGAGTATATTCTGGTCTAGAGGGATATATTTTGGTCTAGAGGGCTATGGTCTGGCCCAGGCTCTTTTACACCCCTGGAAACAGTTGGCCAAGGACAGTTTATGCCCGGGGGTATACTTTGACCTGGGTCAAATTATAACCGGGTTTTCTTTGGACGGGGGTTGATTTATTCTTCTACTCTGGCATCGATTCTTTTACATGTATATGTAATGTTACACATTATCTTCTGACTTCACCTGTTTTTATTTTATTTTATTATTATTATTTTTTACTAGGGCTCAAATCTTTAGTCATCAGTTTTAATCCCTAACCTGATATGACAGTGAATAAGATCACAAAGGGATCTTCATGTTTGGTTTTAGTTAAAAGTTCAATATTTAAAGCAAAGAGCTAATGGAGAAAGAGGGCATGTTCAGCTTTGTCTTACCCTCCAATAATGTAGGTCCATTGTTCATCATGACCATAAGTTTTCATTTCTTCTTTTTTCTCCTGTTCTTTACATTTCTCCCTCTGCAGTTTGATATCAACCAGCTGACAGCCACAGTGAATGTTAGCCAAAGCCTCAGTCCGTTTCACAAGCTGCTGGAGTCTCCAAGCAGTGTGGGCATCATTGGTGGAAGCAGCGCCAGCGGGAACATTGGCCGGGCCAGCGGTGTGTGCACAGCCTTGTCACCAATGGACCGCACAAAAGGTTTCTTCTCTGACGAATCAGAACCCCTCCTTCGCTCTGACTCCACATCCAGCAAAGAGTCTGCCCTCAGCAGGAATGGCTCCTTCATTACCAAAGGTGGAGAACAATGTGTTGTTTCAGTGAACTAGAACCTAATATGGACTTTGTCTTTAAATCAAATTTCATATGAGCACTTAAGACCTTAGATGCACATATGATCATCTTATCGTGTAAAGTGTGTTATTTTTGTTTTAAAACAACATTCGGTCAGTATGCGTAGTCTGTAAAATATTAAATTTACTGTTAGAAAAACTTTAGAGGGCTCTGAAAAAGTACATGACTAATAATCAAGCAGTTTTTTATGTACCTGCTGGAAGTAAACTGATGAGGAAAAATGTGTCACGCTTGATTCACCACTTTTAGTCACCATGTTGTAATCAGTTTCTTTAACAAAACACAGCAAATCTTTGTGGACATGTTCCTGTGAGTCAGTCTGCCACAGACGTGTCTCAGCCAGTAAGTTGGTTTTAAATGACACCGTCATCAGAGTAAAAGTTCAAAAAACACTATTGGAAAGTGTCTTGCACTATAAGATTATAAGCCTGGAACATTTGCCTAATACAGATTATTATTTTACAACGTACTTGAACATGAAATCACACAGATGTCTGATGAAGCTTATTAGTAACCAGGCTGAGTGTAAAATCTGATGAGTGGGTGCTGACTGCCCCCCTGTGGTTATTCATGACACTCACCCTAAAAGACTGAAGGGCAAGGCTGTCTGGTCAGGGGGGGCTTGTAGGGGGGCCTGCAAATATATTTCCATTTACCCCTGCCCCCATTTCAGGTGGCGCCCCTGGTTACAAGAGATCAGGTCTTGTCACCTAGTCCTAGTTTTTTTAAGACAAAGTGCACTTTTTGGCATTTTAGACTATTGCAACACCAGTCTGCTCTTTTTACCACTCCAACTTTATTTATAAAGCACATTCACACACAGTAACACTCAGGCACGGGCGTCAAGAGAAATGGATGAAGGGGGTACACACTGTCACCTTAAAGACAGAACTGCTGTCACATATTTGTCATTGGGAGGAATTGTTTTCTTACAAAACATAAATTAGGTACAGTAGCCCTCACTACTTCGCAGCTCATTTCTCGCAGACTTGCTCTATAGCAGTTTTTCAAAATAAGAGTGGACATGACACACAATTGGCTAATTGATGTATGAGCCGCACGATCAACATGGAATTTTTATTTAAAATGAATTATTTTAGATGATTTAGCACCTGCTGCACATTTGTGCAGCCCACACTGCAGGAGAAGCTTCCTCCTGCAGCATGGCATGATCTCCGCTCTGTAGCAGAGAAGAGGGCGT